GAGAGAGAGAGAGAGAGAGAGAGAGAGAACGAGAGAGAAAGACAAACAGACAGATAAACAAATTGTTAGCTTGTATTATATCCGGCTCTGGTACATGAATTAACATTGGGAACTCATTCACACACTTCTCAATCAATTAATTACAACAAACATACATTTTTTTTCACGAACTTGGACTTTGGTTTTTAAGCAATCGTGGGCCTGCTATGGTTCAATTTTCATGGAATCCTAGAGGGGTGCTAGGCCTATATATATATGTTCTAAAAAGGATAACACACTATATACCTTCTGATTACAGTCTGGGATAGATCTTTTAAAGGTATGTACACACACGACATGTCATTTATGCGTATTTTAGGAGTTTCTGGTGTGCGTGAAAAAAGATTTTTTCAGGAATGTGAGATTCGTATTTTTAGTCTGAAATAGAAATCGACCAACTGTGGCACGTCCAAAGGCTTGGATACCGGTACTTCGACAGTATTGTGTCTGGAATGGTTTGCGGTTGATATCTGAAATGCATACATTCTAATCCCGTGGGCGTGGGTTACACTACTTAGATAACAGAACTCGTTCGACTTCTTTGATGTAGATCGAGTTAAACTTTCGTAACAGTAACTTGTTAACTATTTTATTTCACTCCGGCTTGAACAACTTCAATGATTCGTTATTGAAATTATTCGTTACAGTTAGTGTATGAGTTACACGATGATGAGTGGAATCTAGAATCGTGAACCGTGAACCACAGTACGAGTCGAGGACTAGATCTTTGTTTCAGTCTCTCGATTCAAGTCTAGCTGTCTTGTTGTAACTCCATAGACTAATATTCAGATTCAAGAGCTAGCCTAGTATTCACTCTAATTTAGAGTAGAGTAGGGTATAACCTAGTATTATTTCACTCCAATTTCATTGTCTCAGTCTCAAAGATGTAATCGTATAGTAGTATCATAGTAGCACGTTTGTGTTCATTTTGTTTTCTCTTGTTTTACTTGGATTAAGACTAAACTTTATAACAGTCGCGTGGGATAAATATAAATACATTCTGAAATATTTGGTATCTGGTGGGTTTTATTGTGGAACTGTATCACACAAGGTTTAAACAAGGTTATGTAAAGTGTTTATTTTGTGTGTGTTTGGGGGGGGGGGGGGTGTTACTTGAGGGTATTGGTTATGTTCCCTGTATTTGCACATGGCACCTATTTTAATGTTTTGCGATATGTGGCAGGACGCAGAGGAATCAGGCGCTCGTCATTTTTTAAAACGTAAATAAAAGGAGTTACCCTCATCTTCTACAAGCTGGTTCATTTGTCTTGTTTTAGATGAAAAAAATACCTATCCTTCTTGAATAGTTGAGATATCTGTAATAAAAAAAAAAGGGGGGGGGGGGCGTCACCTGGGGCCAGAGGTATGATCAGCCAGAAAATGGCTGCCAAAGATTGGCATCATCCAAAGTTGAGCGCCCTTGGAAACTGCTAATGTACCTTTGATCAACAATTTTTTCCTGTTTTAAACAAAAGTAGAATCCACACACAAATGCGTTTTATAGTGGATGTGAAACGTGTTGACCCCCCCCCCCCCCCAAAAAAAAAAAAAAAAAAAAAAAAAAAAAAAAATAATAATAAAAAAATATAAAAAAATAAAAAGAAATAAATAATTGCCGTATAGACGGGAAAATGTCGGTTTCTTCGATTCCACTATTTTGACGAAAGCCTGATTTCAACACGATGCCTCACATGGAATTTTCTGGAAACAACTGATTTAAGATGATTAAAGTGGCATCATACGTGTTTTGAAGCAGTTTGACCCTCAGAAACAGTGCATCTGTGTGCGAGAGTAAATGTAAAAAATTACCAAAATTAGATCTTGTCTATTAGCACTGATGCAATATTGCTGTTAGGCTTTGTCTTATATTCAAGCCTGTTTAGAATTGTAATCTTGACTTTGATCAGAGGTCTTTTAAAATAATGAAAGTGTCACTTCTTGTATACAGGAACTATCCTTTTGCTGACAAAATTTAATGAGTCTCAGAGTTCTCGGCTTTTTGGCAATGGAAATTATAGCTATGTGAAATTTACCTCTTGAGTTTGAAGAATTTGTAAAACTTTGAAAGGATAAAAAACATGTTAAACTTATTTTAAAAATGGCACCAGTTGGAATTTACAAATGAGACCATAATGTCGATTTTCAACACATATAATCTCCATTCACGGATTTTTAGAAGATCTCAAGATTCTCAGCACATCTAACTGTTATTTTTTTGTTTGAAAGTCTTACCCACGCTGGCTATTATGCTAGGGTTGTGGAGAGACGTTAACTAACGAGCATTAGCATTTTCTCTTGTCCATCTTACCAAAAGTCGATTCCTTGACGATTGTCCAGGTGTCTTATGTCTTACTTTATAATACAATGGAGTGTGCTTAAAGCAAACAAAGTTAACCCGAAAACAGCTTTAAACAAAACGAATAATCCCAAATTATTTTAGCTTCTCTCTCTCTCTCTCTCTCTCTCTCTCTCTCTCTCTCTCTCTCTCTCTCTCTCTCTCTCTCTCTCTCTCTCTCTCTCTCTCTTTATATATATATATATATATATATATATAAATAAAATGAAAACACGACTAAATAGACGAAATTCCAACGGTCCCACAGATTTCAGTTTAAAAAGCAGACTCAATTCTATAAAACTATGATATGTAATTTGCGTTTACTTTAAAATTTACTTTGAAAATAATGACTTTTTTTGTGTATGTTGTCTTAGTGACGGTGACAGGAGTCACATGGAATAGGTCCCTCGTTTCTTATTTTCTAAATTGTTTCTATCTTTTTTGTCTTTTTCAGATTTAGGAAAGCAGTGAGTAACTTTAGCCACAGCATGCACAATGGCAGAACATGATAACTTCATCACAAAGGCCATCAAAGGCTACGATTACGTCCTGGAAAATGGAGGTAAGCTTGTTTAAAAAAAAAATAATAATAATTTTAAAAAAAAATTATATATATATATATATATATATATATATACAGATGATTTTTGTACACAAGTGATTATCTTATACAGGTGACTGTAACCCAGCCTGCACAAAGAGATGGGCGTGACATGGACCCAAGATGGGCTTGGATTTGGGCACAATGTGGTATCGCAGCACTGCGCCAGGTGGTGTTTGCACATGGATGATTGAAAGCGCCCACATGTGTCGGCCCATTTCGAGCCCATATCCGTATTGAGTACCCACCACCCTTGTTTTAACGGGCTCCGGAAAGTTCAGGATTTTTCTTTTCAGTAGCCAGTTAGCACCTCTAAGTAAACCAATGTACAATGGCAACTGGCAATGGCATGTTTATAAATTTGCCATCATGGGTGGAATATTGTGGATTTGGTTTTCTTTGTTTGTTTATTTTTAATGTGTTTGAATGCAATATGTAATAATATTATTTAAGTATATATGTTTGCCATTGTAACCCAAATTCCCCCACGGGGAGCAGTAATGTGTGATTTATTTATTTGTAATCATTTTGTCAATCTTTACCCATAACCTTTTTCATCAGACCCAAGGGTAGACGGCTGGTTCTTGATGAGCTCTCCAATGCCCAGCTTCATCATCTGCATGGCCTACTTCATCTTTGTGCTGATGTCTCCGACCTTCATGAAGAATCGCAAACCGGTGAAGATGAAGCCTGTGCTTATTTTCTACAATTTCTCGATGGTTGCATTGTCAGGCTACATGTTCTATGAGGTAAGCTGTTATTGTTAGGATTATCAGGCTACATTTTCTATGCGGTGAGCTATTATTGTCAGGATCATCAGACACAAGTGAAGGAAGGTTGTCTTGAACAACAATAACAACAACAACAACAACAACAACAATAACAACAACAATAACAACAACAGCAACAACAACAATAACAAGGATCCTTCACTACTTAGAATTGTTTTCAGTAAGTCACCATCCCCGCATTACATGTGTCACTCCAGTTTCGTTTTTCATGGAGTAGCCCTCAAATGAAATTAAAGAGATAAACACCAGTGACTGTGGTGCAGTGGACATTTGCTTCACTGACGTATGTACGAGACCCGAGTACGATTCCTAACTGTGGAGAAATTTGTGAGGCGTCGTGGTGAAATCAAGCAATCGTGAAAGTAATGAAATCGAAGATATCGGTATTTTTCCTCCAGTTTGACAATCTCTTTTTGTTTTCTGTTTTTTTGCTCAACACCTTTCATGTCCATGTGAATCTTACTGAAAAGCGTTGCTTAATGGAACAAAATATGGTATTTTTCAGTTTTCAAGGACTCCCAATCTATTGAAATTACCAAATTTTGGCACAATTTTCAGGCTAATTTTAAATCTAAAACCAGGCTACCATAATCTCATTTAATTGCAAATATCCCAACTTCTATTCAAGATAGATGGGTATGTTTTTTTCATAGAACGCATTGTCAATGAATACGCTTTAAGACGATACCAGTAACTCCACATGCTCAAATATTGACAAGCGCCTGATTCCACCTGGTCGATACACATTAATTGTTATTGAGTGTCTCAGTTTTTCCCTAGGACGTTGCATAGGACATGGAAAGGTGGAAAGTGTTTGTTCGTGGCCTAATATGGAGGATAATGATGATCTCGATCTTTCTGCTGGGATGTTGTGTCCCTCTTAGCTTGGGTTGGCCCTGAAAGGCAGGGTCGGAATTTTTTAAAAAATGAAGACTTTGAATGTTTCGATCTGTTTCCCCAGTTCCTCATGGCAGGTTGGTTGACAGGGTACAGCCTAGGGTGTCAGCCCGTCGATTACTCCAACTCTCCGAAAGCAAAGAGGGTAAGATGTCAGTTTTAGTCGTGTTTTGAAATACAATTATTTATCATGCATATGGATAGAATTACAAAAGAGGCCAACACAGAACCAGACGCCCTAAATGAATTACTCTTCGCTGATGACCAAAGCCTGGCACACAAACATGAACTAAGTCTCCAACATCATACCACCAGATTAAACGAAGAATGTAGCAACTACGACATGAAGATCAACATCGACAAAACAGAGACAATGAAAGTAAGCAGAAAGCCAGAACCACTCAGGATACACATCAACAACAACAGTCTCAGACATGTCCAAGAATTTAAGTACCTCGGAAGTATATTCACAGAGGACGGGCGACTGAACAGAGAAATTGAAACACGAGTACAAAAGGCCAATAGTGTTAGTTACCAGCTTACTCCATTACTGAAACATTTTAACATCCCCATGACAACAAAACTTAATTGATCAACACCATATTCATCCCAACACTCACCTATCAATGCCAAACATGGACCACGAACATCATATCATCTCCTTTTAACAGGTACCTTTAGCCTGTTCAATTCATCTTTCCTTGCATTAACACCCAGTGAGTATTCATGTGTGAGCATCTATGTATGTTTGTGTGTGTGTGTGTGTGTGTGTGTGTGTGTGTGTGTGTGTGCGTGTGTGTTGATGAGTGCCTGTGCGTGTACATAAAATTTACCATGCCACAACAAATTTTTCTTTGTGGAGCTGATTAAATTGTTATCTATCTACTCTTTTTCTCAGATGGCCCGAGTGTCCTGGTTGTTTTTCATGTCAAAGTTCATTGAACTTCTCGACACGGTGAGTATCTAATGGATTAAACTCGAAATCCTTCAGAATCTTACAGAACATGCGCCAACATTGCTGGACCTATATTAAGCGCTAGAAATATCAGTTACTGCAATTCTTTCAAATGATAATCTTTCGTTTTTAGTGAGAGTTTTACAGCACTTGAAACACAAATAGGTCTTAAAGTGCCGAAGATTAGAAGTACTCTATATAGTGTAACATACAAAGAGAAGAAAGAGGAAATATAAGGACGATAGATGTTTGGAAGGAAAGAAGGAGCAAGCCTGGCAATCTTTTGAAGCAGAAAAGTATGAGGAAGAGTTTTACAAAGATGACACTAACAGGGCATCAGTGGTTGGTAGGGAAAAGTGGAAGGGGGAGGGGTGGGTGTGGGGGGAATTATCACAACAGCAGGTAGAGTAGATTCCTGAACTGACAGGGTGCAAGAGAGATGAGGAAACGAATCTCAAAATGAATGCATGAATTTTTTTCCTTTTGTTCTTTTTGTGTGTACAGGTGTTTTTCATCATGAGGAAGAAATTCAACCAGGTATCGTTCCTGCACGTGTTTCACCACGGCATCCTGCCTGTCTCCTGGTGGTTCGGAGTCAAACTTGTGCCAGGTAGGGAGGGATAGGTGGCCGCTTGTCTTGTGTCGGGATAGACATGTCTGCATGTGTGTGTGTGTCTGTGTGTGTGTCTGTGTGTGTGCGTGTATGTGTGTGCGTGTATGTGTGTGTGTGTGTGTGTGTGTGTGTGTGTGTGTGTGTGTGTGTGTTCGGTATGTCGTGTCGTTCAGTGTGTGTATTAAAGGCCACCGAAGCATGGAATGTGAGTTATCATCCATATCTAAGTATACATCCAAAACATAATATATGGTCAGTTTAGCTTAAGATCGTCTCAAGCTTGGCTTCGTGCAGCTTCTTTCATAGCTAATGTTTCCTATGTTTGAAGCTCAGATTCTGTCGCAGTGCTTGAATGTCAGTGACGTGGATCGAAGCTCTGTATTTCCGCTGTTTTCCTTTCGTCGTTGACGCTTCTAAGCCTGGTTGTTTCTGAGACTGCTCTCTAGCCTTATAGTTCTTTCCTTGATAATTTTCCTCCATGTTTTCCTGTCCCCAGCTATTTCTTCCCAGGTGCTGACATCTACCCAAAGCTTAGATAGGCTGTTTTTGTAGGAGACTTTGTACCTCAATTTTGACCTTTCTCTTTGTCTCTTTCCACGGGCAAGTTATCCAAAGAGAATAAGGCTGTCCATTTTCTTGACAGGTCCCAGCCATCTCAATCTTCTTAAATACAGGATAGTTGTCATGCCTTGGCGGTTTGCCCGAGCTAGCACTTCAACACTGATAAACTTGTCAAGCCACGAAATGCTTAAGATTTTGCAGCAGCATCTGAGATGGAAAACGTCGAGGCGATTTTGTTGCCTGCTGTACAAGATCCATTTTTCAGATCCATAAAAGGAGTGCGCTGTGGACACGTTTCATAAATCTTGACCTTTGTTTTGGTGGTAAATCTTTTGTTTTCACATGCTCGGTTTCTCAGCCTTCCAAAAGTTGTTGCTACTTTCCCTATCCTGATGTTGATCTCATCATCAAGTGATGTAGTAGAGCTGATGTATATACCCCTAGAGACTGGTTGTAACTTCTATTTCTGTATATGTCTAGTTGAAATCGTCTAAGAAGACAAAACAGCCACTTGTTATCAAGGAGAAAAGTGGTTGCCTTAGGTCGCCTTCTCTTACACAGTGTCATAGTGTAAAAAAACGGAAAGTTGTGTTTGTACAGGTGATTGTCTTATACAGGTGCCAAATAGAGCAGGTTCGTCTACATTATTATTCTTACATACAGAAAAACCTCGGTATAACGTTGTTGTATAACTCACTCACCGTCATGACTCCATCTGTGTCATTGGCAATTTTACCTTTTTATTTGTAGTAGAAGCTGACACATAATAATAATGATTGTGTGGGAATGGCATCGCACAATTACGAGAGTAACTGTACATCTCTTGGATCGCTCAGAGTAGTTTCATTTTATTAGAAAGATATTCCTTGAAATTCTGCCTATTTTTGGATCAGGAATTCACTTTGTGGTATTTCTGGATTTTGTTTGTGAGGGTCCTCATGTAGTTGGAGGACTCTACCGGCAGGTCCTACTTCTTTTCTATTTTTATCTGTATTTTTCTGTCTGTCCTAATTTTTTCTCCTTGCACGAAATGACCATTATTATTGTGTGAATGCGCCTCTTTTTACTTTACATACTCTCAAACTGTATTTCCCCCTCTCCCACCTCCCCCCTCCCCTTGGTTGTGTTTCAGGCGGTTTCGGAACGTTCCACTCCATGATCAACTCCTGGATCCACTTCATGATGTACATGTACTACGGACTCTCCGCCCTGGGCCCGGCCTTCCAGAAGTATCTGTGGTGGAAGAAGTACATGACCACCTTGCAGTTAGTGAGTACATGTACACCAATGTGCGACATACCAATACACAACATATCAATACACAATAAACAAATACACAGCATACCAATACATACATACACAGTCTAACTAGTGAGCATATGTACACCAGTACACAACATATCAATACACACATACAGTTTGTATATTGGGTCCATGTACACCAGTACACGACATACCAATACACAACATACACAGTCTAAATAGTGAATACATACCAAAATACAAGATACAAAAATATTCTAACAATCTAATCAACAAGTACATACCAATATTCAACTGTATTGTTGCCGTCAAGCTCAAAACTGAACGGCCGAGGATTCGAACCCCCCCCCCCCCCCCACATCAGAGGCCTGACGTTGTGTTCTTGGAAAAGGCACTTTGCATGAATTTTCCTCATTTCACTCAGGTGGGAATGGGTACCCAGCCATATACAACGTAAGACCGTATATATTATTGTTATTATTTGAGCATTTGTAACCGCGGCAGCTTGCACTGTATATTTCTCAGGCTATTCATAATTTTTTTAAACATAATTTTAACCCCTCCCTTCTCTCCAGCTATTTCACTTTATTTGTTTCCTCCCCACCCACC